TTTCCCTTTCCTTCCCCAGAGCAAAACATTTCCCCTCCTTGCTGTAACCCAGTCCCCTTTCTCCTCCAACCTTATGTCCCACTCCCAACAGACATCACCGCTTGAAACAAAACCCCCACCTTGTCCATTATTTTCAATGGGAAAATTGACCCCGCATAACACGTTTTCACTTAACACAATCATTTTCTGAAACATATCTAAAGAGTTAAATGAGGAATTACTGTATTTCATCCAGGATTAGGATGATATATATGCCACAGGACCCAGCTATGGAGTCATGTAATAAAATGAGAATCTCAGTTTTCATTTGGAAAAGTAAGAAATGTGATGCTCGGGGGCGTGGGTCACTGGCAGTGGTAGGAACTGAACCCAGGATGTCTGGATCTACTGCTTTGAGTCAACTAGTAACTCAAAAGCTGTACCTTTATAAACTTCACTGATCCAGCTACTACAGAAAAAAAGCAACACTTAAATTATACCAACAAAAGTGGTATTATAGACATGTCTTATGTGGCTCAGGGTTGTGGAAAAAAACACCACCCTAAGCAACATATGCTACATCAACACAAGTGCTGGTGTGGACTAGGGATGTAACAGTGTAGTTGATTAACCAATAAGCAAAAGCTTATCAGTTAATGCTATAGCCTACACGCATTCTTCTCTCCCCCCCCCCAGTAAATCGGAGGCAGGAGCACAGGGTGACAAGGCAGCCGGTCTACGAGGGGACCTGGTTTTTAAATCCGTTTCCCTCACGGACCAGTTCTTGCCCTGGCATCCTGCACTGTTACCTCTAACACAGAGGCAGCAGTGTGGAGTGGCAGAGGGCTAATCGGGAGTGGGGCCAGAGTGCATTGGCTGCTGGCCCCACCCTTGGGGACTAAAAAATAATCGAGTAATCAATAAGAATTCATGAGGTTACTTGACTATTCAATTAACTGATATTTAACATCCCTAGTGAGGGCAGCACTATGTTGGTGGGAGAACTTCTGCCGACATAGCTACTGCTGCATATGAAGGTAGTTTTATTAGGTCTACAGAAGAGCTGGCATACAGTGGCTATACCACGGGTGGGCAAATACTAACTTGTGGGCCAGATCCGGTCCACCACTGTTAGTTCCAGGTGGGCCTCTACCGCTGTATTTACCTGTACAGCTGCAGGTACCAGCAATCGCAGCTTTCATTGGTCCCAGATTACTGTTCTCACCAGGCTCTTAATACATTTGAAAGACTGAAGCGCAGCAGGGGACACTGGGCACGAGCTGAGAATCAGCTGTTCATCTCCAGTCCAGTGGCCCCCTCCCCGCCCCCGCTCTCCCTGGAGATGGAGGTGGGGGAAGAGGGGGGCAGAATTAGTTGCTTACATCCCCGGGGGTGGGGGCAGGAGTGAAACAATGCCATGGCATTAGGGTAGGACCATGAAGGATCATTTGTGAAGTCTATCTGCAACCTCAGATTGTCTTAATTTTACCTTGATGTCATTTTCATGGTTAGCAATCTACATACCATCCAATGCACCACCAAAAAAAAAAAAAAAAAAAAGTCCTGAGATTTTGGAAATGATACCATGGGCTTGAGAAATCCCTGAAAAACCTGGGTTAGACAGGTATGCTGTCAATGTTTGTATCCCTAAAGTCACTTTTGTGTCTTTTCTATTGTTAAGATTTGTTTCTTTGCCCTTTTCTCCCCCTCCCCTTTTCATTGGCAAACATTGAAACAGATAGTTAAGAAAAAATGTGCAAAGACAACACAAAAAAGTTTTACATTTTCAACCAACAAAAAAACCCCAAAAAACAGACCTCTCCCCAAGACACAAGAACACCACAGATAACCCTATCCAAAACTCTTATTTCTCTTCAAAAAATGTGGAATGATGTTGCAATTCAACTCCTCCCACCAAAAAAAGTATGTGTTTTCCAGCTAACTTTAGGCACAAGGCCAGGCTCCTCAAACGATATTGATTTCACTGCCTTCCGTGGGGAAACATTTACTCCAAAGGCCCTGTGTAATGAAGATGAAATCGGGCTCATGACCTGTGCTCCAGTAACCATTGGAGAATGTTAATCGTCTCTAAAGCATAATGACCAACTTTCTCCAGTGCACGCATCGCTGGCTCTTATCCAATGGTACGAGCTTTGCTTGCTCCAGGGAAGGCCTTACACAGCCGTGGAAGAAAACAGGAGCTGAAGTCCTGCAGGGAACAGACCAAGAGCGAGCTGGCCCGCACAGGCCCTTGAGAGGCCCGCGCGTGAGCACACACCGGGGGAGCGGGGACCCACTCCACACACGCCGCTGGCCGGAGGGGAGGACGCGCGGCAGCCAGCCAGGGACGCGCCAGCTGCAAGGAGCGGGGCGCGCGGCGGGCCCGGGGAGCTGGGAGCGCGGGAAACAGCGGGGAGGTCCCGGGGCTTGCACCGGCCCGGCCCCTACCTCGAATCCGAGCCAGGAATAGGGCCA